ACAAGTGCACTGAGGAGCTGCTGAGGGGGCTGGGGGAGCTCAGCTGGAGAAAAGGAGGCTCGGGGGGAGCTTTTCACTGTCTGCCACTCCCTGACAGGAGGGTGAGGCCAGGTGGGGCCATGCTCTGATCCCGGGGAACAAGGGACAGGACGAGGGGAATGGCCTCAGCTCTCCAGGGGAGGTTTAGGTTGGACATTTGGAAGAATTTCTTCATAGAAAGGGTGATTAGACATCAGAACGGGCTGACCAGGGAGGTGGTGGTGTCACATTTACGAAAAGATTGGAGGTGGCACTTGGTTCTGTGGTCTAATTGACAAGGTGGTGTTGGGCCACAGGTCGGACTGGATAATCTCAGAAATCTTTTCCAGCCCAACTGGTTCTGTGATCCTGGAGTAAAGGAGAGGGCGTGAGGCAGCAGCTCGGGGCTGGGGCTCAGCTCCGCAGTGTTCCTAATGCCCTTTCCTTGCTCTGTGCCTGGCCGGGGTCCCCTCGGCACAGCCCACGGGTGACACCGTGTGCGGGCAGGGACGTGCTGGCTTCACTGGAACAGGGAATGCGGGATTCCCTCGGGAGAAGGCGAGGCCACAGCCAAGCCACTGCCACGGGCCTGGCGCCGGGCACGGCCGCCCTGCTCCGCAGAGCTAACTTTCGGTGCTAAAATGACACTTCACTCAGGAGGCTCTTCATGCTAATCACCTCTCCAGCTAATGGAGAAAGGTGCTTAAAACCAGCTGGAAATAACCCAAGCCTATTAGAAGGATGACAATTTTTCAGCTCCCCAGAATAATTTGTCCCTGGCATAGCAGTTAATAATTAATTTTAAAAGGGGAGGTGGGTGGGGGAGAAAACCCACTGCAAACAGCATAATGTCACTTCTCCCTTCAGTACAACACTGAAGAAAAAATAGCAATCTGGCTGTCAGCAGATCAGGGACACGGACTCCTCTAGGAAGCAGCATGACTGAGAGGGCAAGGATCATATCAAAGGCTCTGGTCTCAGAAGCTCGGTTCAAAGCCAGCAGGGATATCACTGGTGTAGCAGACGTGGGGAAGACACTGGAAGGGCAAATGCATATTTTAGTTTCATTTCATGTCACCCTGTTTTAATATAAAATAAGATAAAGGAGGCACAACGCTTACTATGTACCAAACAGCTGCCAAGATTTTGATTTAAAGCCTTCCTGATCTGTATGAGACCAGGTGTGCTCTTAGATTGCTGGTTACCATGGTGGGGAAACACTGTTATCAGCAGATGGAAATTTCTAGACATTAAGACTGATTAGACAGGTTGACATGGGAAGGCTAATGCACCTACATGGATCCAGTGCAAGCAGGAGCCTTTCCTGGGTGAGTTATGTGGCAAGTGCAGTGTCCTGAGCCATGTGGCACAACTGCAAATAGCAGCAGTTTTATTTGAGGGAATGGTATTTTGAGTAAGAGTTAATTGGTGTTGCTTAGCAAATACAAGAGCTAAAAAAAAAAAAAAAAAAGTTGTTTAAAGCATGAACTCTGCTTGTGTAAGCATTTCTCCAGCCTCATATGCAGATACACACACGCAATGTACAAGAAATTAGACATTATGAGTAAAGACTTACAGTGTGTTACAACTTCTGGACTTAAAACAGCAGAAAAAAATCACTGTGAAAGCACAACCACCTACAACAAATTACTCTTACAGATGTTTCCTTCTTTGTATAAAGTCAACTACATTTCAGGAAATTCAGTAATTTATGACACATTAATACACAAAAGGTAGATTAGTTGCCCCTGAACATGAGGGCTAACTTCATATTTAAAGTGATTCATTCTTTATCTGGGCCAATCACATCCTGAAATTATCTTAATCAAGCAAACTAAATTACCCCAAATAATTCCAGCTTCAGAAACAGCTTTGCCAGAGCAGAGTATGTGACTGTTAACTTGTAATTTTTGATTCTGTTGTTCAGGCTATAGTAATAAACTGGGAAGTAATGTAAGACTGACATATTGTACATTGTTCCACCTCATCCAGGGCATACATAAGCTTTTGCATCCTTTTCTCTCACAGGATAC